CCGCTCCGACCTGGTTCCAAGCCTCTTCCTTCAGTCTTTCCTCTAGCCTTTGAGATTAAGGAGGCCACACAGCCTGCCGCTGAATTTTCACCGTGACCCTGACAATGAAGCTCAGACCCCTCCCTAGATCCTTCACTCCCTGTCCTGGCACACATCTACGAGCTGAGCTTCCATTGCCTTCCTCTCTGCCCTTTCACTGGCCTTCAGCCTGGCCACAGACTGCCTGCTCAGGAGCCTGTGGGCAGTGTTCCTCTCACTGGGAATGTTCTTCTCTGAAAACCTGCAGGCAGAGCCTCCTCCCTTCAGGACTGAACAAAAGCCCACCTCCCTGGGGAAGAGGAGGTGTCAAGGCTGAATGAACAGCCTGCTGCTGCTGAATGAACAGAGGGAGCTCGTTCTGCTCCTTCACCAAAACCCAAAGCTCGAGTCTTCACTCCAGAGGCCTCAGAGTCAGGACTCACTGAGAAGAGGTCCTTTGCAGATATGAACAGGTGAAGATGAGACCATGCAGGACCCGAGGGGTCTAGTCCTAAGGCTGGACCCTTGGAAGGGCAAGCACCAATCCGTAAAGGCCACGGGGAAACAGAGACAGAGCACAGGGATGCAGCCATGGGCCACAGAAGCCAGGAGTGCCTGAGTCACAAGAAGACACAGACAAGGTCTATGCTGAGCCTCCAGAGAACATGGCCTGCCAGCCCCAACCCAGACTTCTGATCCTTAGCACAGTACAGAAGGAGCGTCCTCCCGTCAAACAGCATTGTGTGATGACGAGTTACAGTAGGCACAAGGAGCCGGCCTAGCCAACTATACACACACACACACACAAACAAACATGCATGCATCCGCATGTACAAGCGCATGCGTGTTTGTGCGTGCACAAACATGGGATGTGTACACACACGTGCAGCAGACATGCTACCCCGGAGCAGGCAAACTCTTGTCCACTGGGTCCATGTCCAGCTTACTTAAAAGGAAATGGACAGGTCAGCTGCTATAGGATCTGTGAGTATGTGAGTGTGGGGTGTGTGTGTGTGTGTGTGTGTGTGTGTGTGTGTGTGTGTGTGTGTGTTGTATACTAGCCCATGTGTGTGCATGTGAGTGTCATCAAGTGTCTTCTTGGGTCACTCTCCACCTTCCTTTTTCTTGAGACAGAGTCTCTCACTGAACCTGGAGCTGATGGTTTCGTCTAGATTGGCTGGGCAGGATACATCTGCCTCCACAACACTGGGCTTACAGGCACCATGCACCTCTATCCCCTGCTTTTTGGTGACTGAGAGCTGGAATCCAAGCCTGGAACAGCAAGCTCTTTACACACTGAGCTATCTCTCCAGGGCAGCTGTTCTGGATACTGCTCAGCTCAAACTCACTAGTACTCTCTTATCCATAGGGAAACTGAGGCACAGGAAAGGGGGAGGTTCCTTGCCCAAGGTCACACCTCCTCCTAAGTAGCAGAGGTGGAATGGACCCTGTGGCCAGCACAGGCTGTTGATTTCTGGGGGACCATAAATTGCTCCTGGGATCCCGTAAAGAGTCACAGAATAAGAGGCCTGGCCCTGCCTTTCAGGCGCTTACAGCCATGATTTAAAAACAAAACAAAACAGACCAAAAAAAAAAAAAAAAAACAGCTTCAAAAAACTCCCATCTTCACAGGAGAGCTTCCTTCTAAAGCCTTGAGCATGGGGGAACATGGGCACTTAGGAGGCTCCCTGCAGGCTGAGTTGCCTGGGGTGTTATGGAAGTACTAGCCAGGGAGGGGCCTTGGCAGCCCTCTTTGCTGGCCACCTTACTCTCATGGCAGTGGAAATGTCCTTTTCTTGTCCTGAGCTGAGGCAAAGCTAGGCACTGCACCTTCTCTGTCTGCCTCAGTTTCTCTGACTCTGACAACCATGACCATGCCTTCTTCTTTCTCTCCTGTATCTCTCCTTCCCTTCCAAGATGTGCCAGAGAACATCTTAGGGTGGAAGAAAGGGTCTAGAGCCAAGGTCTAGGTTATGTGTGTGTCAATGACATTCAGAAGTTAGGATGGTGTCAGCAAGTATCCAAGATGGCTGAGCCTGCGGTTACAAATTGACTCTGTCACTTTCTTACTGGATAACCCTTGGCCTTCTCTGTGCCTCGCTCCCCTCCTCTGTAGAGAGGAAAATGCAGTACCCATCAAATACCGTCTCTGTGAGAAGGAGAAGACGCGGTAAGTCCAAGGCAGACAGCCCCAGACAACGCTGAGTCAACACAAAGCCAACAGGGAGCAGCAGCGGTGGCTCATCCAGGGCCAGGCCCTACGCCTCTCCTCGTGTTGTGACTGCTGCTCTTGCTGTCCTCAGCCATCAGACACCAGCCCGGGGTATGTGCTCACCGCATGTGACACAGAGCTAAGTCTTGTATATGCATGGTTTCGTGTGACGCGAGCGACAGCCCTATGAAGACTATGCTGTCATTATTTTTTTTTTTTTTGCAAATGAGGAAATTGAGGCTTTTGAAGTCAGCTTAACCCAATCTGTGTCATTTTAAAGCTCCAGTAGGTTTAAAAAAAAAAAAATACCTAAGAGCTCTAGGGGACTGCGGAGGTGGTTCAGTCAGTGAAGAGACTGCCTGAGTTCAGTCTCTAGCACCCCCTATCCAGGGGCATAGCAGCTCATCTCTGTTACCCCAGCACTCTGGAGGTAGGGGCAGAAGATCAGATGTTCAAGGACATCCTCGGTTACAAAATGAATTTGAAGCTAGCCTGGGCTAACTGAGACTCGGTTTCCAAGGAAAGGGGCAGGGCATGACCTAAAGAACACATATTCAAAGAATGTTCACCCATGCTCAGTTTCCATACAACACCACTTACCGGCTTTAATGTCTGTATCTTTAACGCGGTGGGAGTTGCGGCTAGCGTTTACAGGGCACCCATGATGAGAAAGACACCCTCTTGGGGGTTTGCTGACCCCCCCCCCACAACCACGCCGTGACAGAAGCCTTCCTGGAGGCTGCATTTTACAGAGGAGGACATTAAGGCACAGAGAGAGGTTCAGTTATTTTTCCGATACCCCACAGCTGCGATGTGGCCGCGCAGAAATCCTAATCCATGCAAAAGCCGGGGAACCGGGGCCTGGGTGGGAGCAAAGCTCATCTCAAGTTTGCTTACTCCTAAAATACTTTCCATCGCCTTTCAGATAACACTGAGCACATCTTTCACACTGGGGCTTCAGACCAATGCTGCACAGCAAGTTTGCTGTTGCCACACAAATATTTCTATCCTTTGCTTAGGGTTTGCCTGTCAGCATGCTCCCTGGGACTCTGGAGATCTCATCCAGCAAGCAGTTGAGTTAAACGATGGCCTGGTTGTTTTCTCTGGGCACCCCTACGCAGGGCACAGCGATTGGCCTAGCCCAAGCCAGCTGCCTGTGATGCCCAGAGCTGGTGTCTGTGTGCCTTATTGCTGTGTCATCTTTGCCAGGATCAACCTGGCATCCTGTTGTTGCCTGCTGTTCATGCACACTTGAACAAGAACTGGGGGGGGGGGGGGGGGGGGTCGAGGTACAGTTTCTTCCAGACCTTAACAGAGAAGCAGAGTTCTCAGCCCAGAGCAGAGGGACCCAGCGGCCAGTCAGGCACAAAATAAAAGCCTGGCTTCTCCTTGGCGTTCTTGCTGTGTCCCTCTCCTCCTCCCTTATGGAACTAAATCTGGCATCTGTCTGTCCCCCACCCCCACTGTCAGAGCACCCATGTCTTACTTTTGGTTTGGTCAGCAGTTAAAACAAACAAACAAACAAAGAACAAAAACCTCTCCAAGACCTTCCCATATGCGTGGGCTGCCTGGAAGCACCACGCTGTCACCTGACATAATAGTAGCACTTTTTTTTTTTCTCTCATCATTATGTCATTGTTCCACTGCCACTTAACCACTGGCAGAGGACAGGATAAGCTGGTACCCCCTAAAAGGTCCCAAGCGCTGACAGGATCTGGCTTTCAAAAGTCCCGCTCCACTAAAAACTAAGCTGAGGTTGGAAGTGGCTAAACCCACCTTTTACCTAAATAGGGGTGGGGCTTGGATCTGGTTTTCAGCAGGAGCCCCCAAACCTCAAGCTTACAGGCCAAAACTGTCCTTTGCCTCCGCCCCACCGCGCCCCCCAGGACTGCAGCTCACCACGCAGAGCACAAAACCTACATTCAACTCGGATTTTATGACGCGAGGCTAGCTCCTCCCACGCGGATGTATTCCGCTTAACCCTTGAGCCCTGCCCATTTGGCGGTGCCTCTGTCCCTGCACACAGGCTGGCTGCACAGAAAGCCATCCAACAGACTCCACTTTAAAGACCTGATTCCTGACTCCCCAGACCAAACCCCTCACAATCCCAACCAGATGGGCTAAGATTTCATATCGTATTCTCACGCATTAACTCCCCCCCACACACACACACACACTCTAGAACCAAACTGAATGGCTTCAAGGTTACATCTAAAAGGGAGAAGATGGAGCAGAAACGGGGACAGTGGGGCGCCCCTGATCCCTTCCGCAGGGCAAGCCGGTGGCACTTCGTGCTTTCAATTGGGGTGGGGGAGCCGGAAGAGCCCTCAGACACATTCCCCAAAAAGGGGGAAAGAAAATGGCTTAAATTGCTTGAATGGCCCAGAGCATGTGTTGAAATGACTGCTGGAAAGTGAAGTCTCTCTGTATTAGTAAATAGCAAAATGTCAAAAAAAAAAAAAGCTAAATAATAATGATGACAAGGACGATGGGAGCAAGAGAAGCAGCCAGCGGTTAGCAGCAAGACCCCCTCCTGGTGTCCCACCAACCCACGCAGGGAATCCCGCCTGGAGACGCTTCCTCGAGTCACCCCCCGCGGCCAGGATGCGAGCGTGCGCCCCTGTTTGACCGCATCTACGCATCTCTACCTGCGAGCGAGGACAGCGTGGGGTGGCCCACGGGGGGGAGGGGGTTGGGCAGCAGAGCCGGGATGCGATGCGAGGATGCGGGCAGGGATGCGGGCAGGGGACGCGGAGGGCGGCGCGGTTACCTCGGTCCGCAGACCCCATGGCGCGGAGGGGCTGGCGGGGGCCCGGCCTGCGCAATGCGGGGCGCTGCATCTGGAGGGGCCGGGCTCAGCGGGCTGGGGAACGGGTGCTGCGATCCGGCGGAGCGGCGGCGCAGAGGCTGCAGCGCCCAGGCTCCGCTCCGGGGCTCTCGCTCGCCGTGCTCCCGCTCCTAGGCTCCTGCGCCGGCTCTCCGTGCTCCCGCTGCCGTGCTCCGGGCTCCGGCTCCCCCGGGCTCCCGGCTGCTGCGGCGCTTCGCGGGTCGCTTTACTCCAGCGGCAACGCGACTTCCTTCCCCGCGCTCCGTGTTTATAGGCTTTCAATGCAGTAAAATAACGGGATTCCCTCACTGTTTCCTCCTGTTTACCCAGCGCCATGGAAACCCCTGGATCCCTTCCATCTCCAAAACTAAGGGCTTTCCTGAAAACTTCACACTCAGGAATCCATGACGTCGCCTCCTCCGCGGCCAGCCAGCTCCGTGGCTCCTTCGGCCGCCAAGCACAAGTCCCTGATTGTTCGGGGCAGGGAGAAAGTCGGGGAGAGGGAGGCGCGCAGGGGTGGGGGCGCGGCCCGCCAGGCCCTGCAGGAGCTGCGTGCAAGCTCGCCGACAGCCACCGCCTCCCTGCTGCAGCCCTGCCCCAATTCAGCCTCCTGACACCCCGCTTTCCCGAGAGGCTGCCCCCCGGAGAAAGCTGCCCAGGCTCTCAGCTAGCACCCCCCCCCGGGTTGTCCAGGAGCCCTTGGACGCTTGCCCAGGGGTGCCTCCTTAGGCCCCTCAGGGCCTCTGCCTGCCCAGATCCTTGAGTGTTCAGGGATGAAGAGGAGCAGGAAGGCGAAGGAAAAGAAATAAATAACGGCGCCTGTGCCAACTGTCCAAGATTTTTTTTTTTCCTCAAAGAGTTTATTTTTAGATTCATTTAGAAAATCCAAGGTTTCCAGCATTACTCGGAGGGTCCAGCAATAAGGCTGAAAAAGAGTCGCCGAAACCAGGCAACGCGTGTGTTTACGCGTGCGTGTGTAAACAGGAAAATGGGGGGGGGGTGATGGCAGGACCTCCGCAGCAGAGGTGTGTGGGATGGCACAGGTGGCTCCCACCTGTGGGCCACGACTGGGAGGACAGCAGCCCACAGAACGGCTGGGGAGGACGGCAGCCCACAGAACGGCTGGGCTAGGCTTTGGCTGTTTTGCTTCTCCACCTGCAGGGACCCTGGGCTCAAAGATGAGGGCAGCTTTGAAAGGCACATGTGAAATACTGTTGTGGGCTCTGATAAGAAACGTGGGAGCACCCAAGGCTAGTGACTCACCACCCGCTCCCACAAGAGACTTGAACTCCAAGAGATACTGCGGGAGGGGGGTGGCAGAAGGGCTGAGTCTACCCACGGGGGGCGAGGGGGACGCTTTGTTTGCCATGTATCTCTCACAGCGGCTCCTCCAACCCCAGGCAGCTCTCAATGTGACCACCAAGACCCCACCTCGCTCCCACACAGGGAACTCTCTCTAGAGTAACTGTGTACCAGTCCCCAAAACAATCCACGTTTCTCCACGTGCCTCCCCCCCAAAAAAAAAATTTTCAAGGTGAGGAAGTTGTGCTGCCTTCCAATTAAACCACTCCTCGGAGCCCCTCTGCGAGCACCCACTTTCCAGATGGTTTGAAAAGGCACAAAGGCAGCCTGCTTAACTGTACAGACAGTGCACAGGGACCTGCTCAGCAGAGCTGTTGAAGAGGCCCCGTTCCTGAGGCCTCCATCCCCATCACCCTCGACAGGAACGGGCCACCCAGCCTAGGGTTCCCAGCCTTTCGGGTTTAAGGTAGACAAAGTCCCAAGCAGGTTGGGACCCACTGGCCATCACAGGCGTGGATGAGAGCCCGCTTCTTTTTGTTTGTCATTGCTGCCACAGACAGGTACCACACCCTGCGTGAACACCTCCCCTAAGTCAGTGGCTGCTGTGTTCCAGGTCTTAGATGAAGGGCAGCTCTAAATCCCCATTCACACCTCTCCTGTGTGCTAGGAAGGAGCATCCTGTCCTGCCCGGACCAACATGGCGGCCGCCAGCCACGCGTGGCCGAGACGAAAGTAACTAATGATTCAATAGCATGCCAGAGTCGGCCCTTCTGTGGCACGAGCCACATCAAAGGAGCATACAAACGGGTGGCTGATGGCCTCCTGCATCCGACAGCAGAGCGTCAGCCTGGTCCATTCTTCCGGAAAGTTCTCTTGGGCAGCATGGCTCAGACGAGCTAAAAGGCTGGGGTTGCCTTGTCATCACATTCCCACCCTGTAGAATGGAGGCACTGGCAAGGCTCACCACCCAGACTGAGCTAAGAGTCAAATGAACGTGTTTAATGGATGTGCTGAGGACAGTCAGGTGTATAATAGACGCCAAAAATACATAGCTTTAAAAAATAACAAAGCCTTCCCACGGTCAAGGCGTGCGTGGTGACTAAGTGGAGACTGGGCTTGTCTGGCTGTCTTTCTATGTCACCTCTAGGCCACTCTTCCTGAGACGAGGCCAGGCCAGCTAGCTAAAGAGCCTCTGGGGAGACCGGGTCCTTAGCCAGAGGCTGGACCTCTTGCCTGGCGTGCAGCAGGTTCCATCCTCAGTTCTTAATCTTATTCATTTTACTTTTATTACGTTTACTAATTCGTGTGTGTGTGTGTGTGTGCCAGTGTGCATGCGCCATGGCATGCCTGCAGAAGTCAGAGGTCAACCTGTAGAAGTCGGTTCTCTCCTTCCGTCACCTGAGTTCCGGGTTTGTAAGGCATGGTGGCAAGCGCCTTTGCTCGCTGAGCCATCTTGCCTACTCTCGTCTCTTTTATTTTTATTTATCGTCTTTGACTTTTTAAGACAGAGTCTTCCTAGCCCAGGTTGGCTTCAAACTTAGAATCTTCAAGTCTCCACCTCCTTGAGAACTGAAATTACAGGTGCGGGTCACCACACCCATCCGAAGCCCTTAAAAAAGAAAAAAAAAATCTCCTTTATTATCCCCACTGACCGTGGTATCGTGAACCCCACTTACAGATGAGCACATCCATACTCCAAAAGCACATGTTCACACAGCTGGCCCCAAGGTGACCCCAACTCTGGCAGCTGCGAACCCATGTTCTTGGCTCTGCAGCCCCTGCCTCCTGAGGCCTCCCTGGGAACCTCCGCCTCCGTGGCCAGCAGCAAGGCAGGAAACCAGCATTCTGGGCCTCCTCTGGTGGACTCATTATCGGGGATAATTTTAGACTCGGGTCCCACCCAAGCTCAGGCCTTGGAGGCGAGTCTCCATCTCCACAGGTGCCTGGAGCTGCTGGAGTTGGGGGACGCCTTCTGGAACTCGGGGGAATCAGCATTAGCCACGTTTTTTATGGCCCTCGCTCTTTGTCAGAGTTAAGCGTTTTTCCCTTTTTAAAGCCCAATTAATACTACCAGGCTGGAGCCTGGGCCTGACAGCTGAGTCACCCAACGTGCCCTCATGAGCCGCAGAGCTAGGTCCCCTCCAAAGCTCCACTTGAGTTCCTCAGACAGTTTCTTTCCTTTCTCACTGCCAGAGCAAGAAATATTTTGTCCTTTTGAACTGAACCACCCACTGTTTTTCACTTCTGTGGAGCACTCCCCTTTGCTGAGGGGGTGCCCTGAGGGGGGTGGGTGGGGAGCTTCCGCCCACTAAATCATCCAAGAGAACTCCCCAAAATAGAGGCCCTCAGCTGGAGCTGGGACTTGCCAGCATGTGAGTGGGGGGGGGGGGGGGGAGAGGCAGAAAGGAAATGGAATCAAAGCAAAGAGAAGGTATCCAGGTGGCCCTGGGCACCTCTGAGCCCTGGACACTCTGAACCACTCCAGACCCTCCTCTCAGAGGCTCCCCTCCCAACATCCTCACAGATAGACCCCGCAGGTGTTTCTGCCAGGAGGCCACCGGCTAGCACTGCCCGAGCTGGGCATCTGCGCCTGGACTCAGGGCAGCTCAGATGGGCACTCGTGGGTCTCTTCACTTGCTGCATGCAGAGCCCATGTCATTTCCATTCGTGCCCCAAATGGGCTTGTAAGCTTATTGGCTCGCCTATGACCGCGATCGAGCAATGTACATGGAGTGCTTGCTTCACCGTGGGCATTAGCTCATTGAACCTTCATACCCCCTCACGGTGATCATTTCATCCGGCAGAAAACGTGGCACAGAGAGGCTATGCAACATGCCCAAGGTTGCCCAGCCAGCAAATGGCAGAGGTGGGATTTGAACCCCAGCCACTTAGCCACACTCTTCTTACCCACCTCCTCAATTGCTGTGAGAAACACCCCCTCAAACCTCCCTCTGCTCAGCCACGTGTGGTGGTGCTGCTTGCCTGATATCCTAGCTCTTAGTAGGCTGAGGCAGGAGCAGTGCTGTGAGTTCGAGGTCAGCCTGGGTTACATAGCAAAACCCCATTTCAAAGCAATAACAAAAGCCAAAGATTTTTCTTTGCTTGGCAGTTTCGTGGGCCTAGCCATGGCTGAAGGGTGGAAGACACAAGCAAAACTCAGTGGCCAGAGAGTGAACAAGAGAAGGCCCTCACGGATTGTGTGAGCTAGGGATGGCAGAGGGGATGGGCAGGTAGGCCTGGCAACAGAGCCTCTCTTCCTTCTCTCTTGAATGCACTGACTCCCCCAGCTGCAAACATCTTCCAAGACCCCTCAAGTCCCCATACCTGCCCCATGCGTCCTCCTTCCCAGGGGCTCTGCAGAACCCTGGATGTTCCGTTCCTCCCCTGAGGTCTCTTAGCATGACCAGCCTTCTTGAGACATCAGGTCATCCCAAGACTCCATGCTCAGGCCCCTGCCTTGGGTCACATTCACCTTCAAGATGAGTCTGAATCCCGTATGGTCCCTCTAGAAGCTCTTCCTGGCCCCAGCAGGCAGCCTGGCGACCCACAGCTTTGGACTTTATGTAGCTGCCCTGTGGACATACTCACGGCCCCTGCCCTAGGTTCCCCGTATCCTCCCTGGCTTGAGGCTTGCCTTAGGGAGCTTCTCTCTCTCTCTGGCCACCTCAGCCTTCACTGACCAGAGTCACCCCTGCTCTAGCCTCTTTTAAAGACGTGCTTCCCTCTCCTGTCCAGCAGCCCTGCTTTCCTTTGAGGAAGAAGAGGCCAGGGCCAAGGGTGCTGTGTACACAGTAGGCGCTTAATAACACAGTCATTGTACCAGGATAGCCACCACACAACAACCCAATTCAACCAAATATTCCCCTGCCAGGATGCCCCCTTCTTTCAACAGTAAGGTCCGACCACCATCGCAGTCTGCAGAGGCCCTGGCCACCCATCTTGGTGTCTCCATCCTCATAGTGGGACCCTGCAGACAATGGCATGGGACCACTCACCCAGGAAGGCCAGCACGTAGGAGGAAAGACATTCAGCCAAGCCTTTGGAGCAACCCCCTTTCTGTCAACCTGAAAGATGACAGCAGCCACAGCTAGCGGGCATCTCAGGGTGGTCCTGGGCCACCTAGATTGTGAGGCAGAAGCTTGTCCTTTAAGCCACCAAGTGTGGAAGAAGTCACCGAAGGCCACCACTATGGCCTCTCAGCCCAGCCCTTGTCTGGAACACTTGTCCCCACATTTCTGTGGCTGACTTCTTT